GCTAACTCTACAAAGATCAGTACTGTAGGGTTTAGGGTTTAGGGTTGTGGTATTAGACAATCAGCATGACGACAACAACTACTACCACTAGTGCTGCTACGACTCCTGCTCCTGCTCCTGCTGCTCCTGCTGCTCCTGCTGCTCCTGCTGCTCCTGCTGCTCCTCCTGCTCCTCCTGCTCCTCCTGCTCCTCCTGCTCCTCCTGCTCCTCCTGCTCCTCCTGCTCCTCCTGCTCCTCCTACTCCTCCTGATCCTCCTGCTCCTCCTGCTCCTGCTCCTCCTGCTCCTCCCGCTCCTCCCGCTCCTCCCGCTCCTCCCGCTCCTCCCGCTGCTCCTGCTGCTCCTGCTGCTCCTGCTGCTCCTGCTGCTCCTGCTGCTGCTGCTGCGCCGAATGTGAGTACGGTAATCGTAACCAGAACCATAAAGCTGAAGAGTACGAAATGATAATGATAAAATACTACTGACAATGACCATGATACAAAATTGTGAACAGTAGTGCTACTTAGAATTGATACCCCATAAACTAACCCCTACTGAAAAAACCTGTAGGAAACCCCATGCAAGCCCTATCAATACCCTATCTCCACCCTGCATGAACCCTCTGTAAACCCAATATAAACCCTAAACCCAAAAAAACCCTTTCTGAACCCTATATGAACCCTACGCGAACCCTACGTAAATAAACCCAATATAAACCTGCTTTAAGGGTGGATCCCGGGGTCGGGGTTCAGGGAGTCGATGCCCCGAAGATTTAACCTTTTTTGGGCTTGTGTAAACCTTAAGATCCATATCCAGGGTTAGGGCACATGATATTCTCACCCTAGATTTACTAAACCCTAAACGCTAAACCCTACGCCCTTTGTACATACAACATGGGGAACATTTGTAGACATGACCAGAGAGCGTCAGTCCCCCCTCGTCCCCCGCCCTGTGGTTTGGTGTGGAGTTTAAGGTTTGGGTTTTTAGGGTTTAGGGTTTAGCGTTCAGGGTTAGGGCTCAGGGATTTGGAATCCGGGTTCATTCAGGGTTGAAGAAGGGGGGGGGGGGGGGGGGGGGGAAGGAGCCGGCGAACTGCGAATGCGAAGCGCGTTCATATATATATATATACACATATATATATATATAGAGAGATGTATATCTAATGTCTATGTATATATATATATATACATTACTATTAGTATTACTATTGTTATTATACAAACAAATGAATAAACATAAAAACAAATAAAACAAATGTGTATAGATATACATATATATATATATATATATATATAGCGAATGCGAAGTGCGTTCATATATATATATATATACATTTATATATATATATGTATATACACATATATATATAGAGAGATGTATATCTAATGTTTATATGTATGTGTATATATATATATACATTACTATTAGTATTATTCTTGTTATTATACAAACAAATAAATAAACATAAAAACAAATAAAACAAATGTTTATAGATATATATATATATATATACATATGTATATATATATATATATATATCTCTCTCTCTCTCTCCGAAGCAGCCTAGAATCGAAGTCCCCCCCCCACCCACCCCACCCCACCCCCCGCCTCGGGTAGGGTTTTGTTGTTTAGGGCCCGTCTGCCTGTCTAGGGTTTAGGGCTTACCCAAAACCCTAAAGCCCAAACCCTGGGAGAACCGGAGGCGCCTCGGCTAAGGTATAGCAGGCGGCCAGCACGCTTATAAACACCAGCTCCTGTTCGGCTTCTGGCTTTCGAGTTGTAGGATCACAATTAGGGTTTAGGGGTTAGTTTTTTTGGATTTAGGGTTCAGGGTTTAGGGTTTGCAGGTATAAGCACCGAGCCTATATCAACCCTAAACCCCAAGGCCAGGTACATGCACCATAAGCCACAAACGCTTCTAGGCTCCAGGTAGTCTTCGGCTTCAGCAGTTCATGGGCTTGGGGTGTTGAGGTGCTTGGGAGTTTTTGTGTCTAGGCTTACGGTTCAGGGTTTCAAGATCCAGGACGCCATAAATCAGCCGGGTGCGGGACGGGGGGGGGGGGGGGTTAAAGCTTTAAAAGTAGCCCGGACCCTGCCTAAGACGCAGCTGCCTCCCCTAATCTTAACCCAAACCCTTAGGGGCTCAGGGTTTACACACCATATCGCAAAGAACTTGATGTGTGTGTGTGTGTGTGCATTCCTGTCGTTTTGCTGTCGTCGTTGTTTCTTTGCGCAATTCTCTGTTGGGGGGGGGGGGGGGGGGGGGGGGGGGGGAGGGCTGGAAGGGAGGGGCTAGGGTAAGCATTTAGGGGGGGTAAGTGTTTCAAGGCTTGGAGCTCGACTCAGAGGCCGCTAGCCCAATTTTAAAACCTTCTGAGAAGCTGTTGACTTTAGCACATGGGTTCCCTACACCCGAAGCTCTACAATCTCCTATCGTATCTCGGCCGAGGCACAAGCCAGTGCAACCAGGGCAGCGAGCGTGACCTTTGGGTAGGTCTAGGGGCCCAACGCCGGTAGACAAGGGAACATAGAAAATGAGGCCCCTCTTGCCAACCCTAAACCCTAAACCCTAAACACTTACATAGCCCGGAACCATAAGCCCTGAACTGCAGCACGGCGCGTCTTCATGTCAGCCCCCCAACTTGGGTTAGGGTTTAGGGTTTAGGGTTTAGGGTTTAGGGTTTAGGGTTTAGGGTTTAGGGTTTAGGGTTTAGGGTTTAGGGTTTAGGGTTTAGGGTTTAGGGTTTAGGGTTTAGGGTTTAAGGTTTAGGGTTTAGGGTTTAGGGTTTAGGGTTTAGGGTTTAGGGGTTTAGGGTTTAAGGTTAGGGTTTAGGGTTTAGGGTTTAGGGTTTAGGGTCCGCCGACCCTGGCGGCGTGTTGGATGGGAAAAGGAGGTGAAAACTTCCCTCTTTCTGGGTAGGGGGGGGTACCCCCCCAACGTTTCATAGAGGCTCAAGCAAATCAACTTTTGGCATCCTTTGAGCTGACGAGCACGTTTAAACCTTTCAACTATGCTCCAGCGGGGTCGGCGGCTTGAGCCGGAGGCTCTTAAATCCGGCCCCCGTGCCGCCCGTGGTCCAGGGCGGAGCCCGCGTCGCACTAAAGCACTAGCGTTAAGGGGCGAGCGCCCGAGCCGCCGACCCCGCCCAAAATTGCTTCAAATTCGCGCGGGGCCCTTCGGGAGGCCTCCAAAACGGCATCCAAGGGGACGCAACGCGCGGTGGTGCGAAAAGCACGAAAACCTCGTAAAAATCATGGGTTTTTACGAAAAACCGAGGCCACAAAACACCCGCAGCACCCCATTAAACCCTCACGGGCGCGCATCATCGGCCCTAGCTTTTCACATGGGGCGCGCGCCAGGCCGAAACCACGTTTTTCAAGGTTTGGGGGGGGTCAAAACCAGGCGAGCATCATGAGCATCAGCAGCCCTGGCCCGCGGGCCCAAGGCAATAAAAAATGCTGAAAAACGCTGAAATCACCGTAAATACCGTGTTTTTATGAGGTTTTTCACGCGTGCCTCCGACCCCCACCCCTGTTGCCCTTGACCCGCCCCCAAAGTGCGCATCATCGAAACCCACGTCCGGGGGGGGGTCTGCTGATGCTGCTGATGCGCGGGGGTCCGGCGCATCATCGAGCCATCGTTTCTCATGGGCTTCGTGGGCCTCCGGGGCCGACGGCCCAGAGACCCAGCTGATGCTCATGATGCTCGTTTTGGGGGGGGGTTCCAACAGCAGAAAACCTCGTAAATACCGAGTGTTTTGTGGGTCCACGTAAAAACGCCCCTAAAATCGCTCATTTTACGCGCTCGAACGGCTTCGTGCCTACAAAACACCCGAACAGCAGGACCCCGAATGCCCTTAAGGGCATTCGGGGTCTTGCTTTTGGGGGTTTCGTGGGCACGCAAGCGTTCAAGCACATACAATCGGCGTGTTTAAGGGGGTTTTGGATGGCCTGGGGGAGGCCGCTGATGCTCATGATGCTCCCTTTCCTGGGTCCCAAAAGGCTTCCCAAGCCCAAAAACACGTGTTTACAGCGTTTTCTGAAGGTTTTTCGAAGGCAAAACGCATGCATAGAATGCTTTTAAGGCCCCCAAACCAACCCCACTGATGCTCCTGATGCGGGTGCGCGCGCGCGCGCGCGGCGCGCGCCGGGGGGGGGGAGGGAGGGGGGGCGAAGGCAGGAGAAAGAGAGACAGAGAGAAGGAGAGGACAAAGACACGGGAAAGAGAAGACAGTGCCAAGGTTCAAGGTTTCGTGCTTTGGGGGGCGGGGGCCGGCCCGTGCCGCTAGGCCTGAAATTTAGGGTTTGGGTTTAGGGTTTAGGGTTTGGGGTTTAGGGTTTAGGGTTTAGGGTTTCGGGTTTACATTCACGCCAGAAGGCTCGGCCCTGAACCCCACAAGCCCCAGCCCCCCACGCGTTTCTGGCTTGGACTCAAACGACCAACCTTGGGCCAGCAAATACCCGGCGACTAGTTTTTGGGGGAACATCCCAACCTTGGGCCATCAAATACCTGGCCACACACAACATGAGCACACCATCCTAAACAGGAACCCTGAACCCCAAACCCTAAACCCTAAACAGGAACCCTGAACCCCAAACCCTAAACCCTAAACAGGAACCCTGAACCCCAAACCCTAAACCCTAAACAGGAACCCTGAACCCTAAACCCTAAACCCGAAACCGTAAACCCAACAGTCTGACGTGCGTGGCCGGGTGGGTGTACAAGTAACACGAGCATGCGGCATGGGATGCTTCATGCTTCACACACCCCAGCGCGCACCGCCCTTCGACACACATGTTTGTTAGGATTTAGGGTTTACAGGGTGGGGCCCCCTAGCTATAAGTAGAGTTATAAGGGCCCTAAATTGGGTTATAAGGACCCTAAGTTAGGTTATAAGTCCCTTAACTACAGTTAGTATAGTAAGGGGGCCCCACCCTGTAGGGTTAGGATGAACCCTAACCCACCCTGAGCCCTCAACCCTAAACCCAACTTACCTTCCGACTCAAAAGCCCAAACCTTGTTTAAGGCCCCGGCCGGCCAAAGAACAGCCGCGACATCACTGCAGCCACGACCAGCTTCCTTACTTGGAGGCTTATGGGTAGTTAACCCGTCTAGGGTTTAGGGTTTAGGGTCTAGGGTTTAGGGTTTAGGGTTTAGGGCTACTTGGAGGTTCATGGGGAGCCATATGTGGGGCTAAAAGTATGGTACCTAAAACTACAACTGGATGTCCTTATTTGGGTACTTGACAACCCTACTTATAACTACTCATGATCCTTCAAGTAGGCGGGGCCCTAAACCGACTGGGATTCGGGAGTCCGAATTGGAACGACGCGGGAGGGGGGAGGAGACGGGGGTTTAGGGGTTTAGGGGTTTAGGGGTTTAGGGGTTTAGGGGTTTAGGGGTTTAGGGGTTTAGGGGTTTAGGGTTTAGGGCTCAATCTCTATATATATATATATATATATATGGTCCACCCCCCCCAATGGACCCACCGCGGGCCTTGATCTTTGCAAAAGTACCGCAAATACCGATAAAAGCTATGCTGTCTGGTGATTTTCCGGTGACAGGATTTTTGACTGTATTCCTTAATTCACCCTCTCACACACGCACGGAGGGTTTTTCTTTCTGTTGGCTTTTGTTTATAATTTAAGATCTAGGCATTTAAACCTAAGCCTGCAAAAAAAAAACTTAACCTTTAAACCCTGTAGGGTTAAGGTTTAAAGGTTAAGGGTTTAAGATTTAGGCATTTGAACCTATGCCGGTAATTAAAGCTAAGCCCTTAACCTTTAAATTCTATCGGGTTGAGATTTTTACAGGTTTAGGGTTTAAGATGTAGGCATTTAAACCTAAGCCTGCAACTAATTTTAAACCCTTAACCTTTAAACCCTGTAGGGTTAAAGTTTAGAGGCTTAGGGTTTAATATTTAGCCTTTTAAACCTGTAGCCAAGCCCTTAACGTTTAAACCCTATAGGGTTAAGATTTTTAAAGGTTTAGGATATAAGATGTAGGAATTTAAACCTAATTAAGCCTGCAACTAATTTTAAACCCTTAACCTTTAAACCCTGTTGGGCTAAGGTTTAAAGGTTTCGGGCTTAAGATTTAGGCATTTAAACCTATTCCGGCAATTTACGCTAAGCCTCTAACCTTTAAACCCTATAGGGTTAAGATATTTAAAGGTTTAGGGTTTAAGTTTAAGGTTTAGGTATTTAGACCTATGCCGGCAGTTCATATTGAACCCTTAACCTTAAACCCCATAGGGATGAGATTTAAAGGTTTAGGATTCTTTACTTAGACATTTAAATCCAAGCTGACGATTCAACCTAAACCCTTAACCTTTAAACCCTATAGGGTGAAGGTTTAAAGAATTAGGGAAAGGTTTAGGGTTTAAGTTTAAGGTTTAGGTATTTAGACCTATGCCGGCAGTTCATATTGAACCCTGAACCCTGAACCCTAAACTGAGCCCTAAGCCCAAAACACACACAAACAAAGCCGCAAAGGCCCCAACTCTTAAATCAATCTTGCTTTGGAGGGTAGGGCAGCTTAGGGCCCGCCGGTACCTCAAGTCCCTTGCTTTGGGCGCATTTGCGGTGCAGCATCTAAGGCCGGAGGGTAAATGTGGGCCCTTAAAAGGGGACCGCTTCGATACGCTATACAACCCAAGCGCCCATACGTCAGAACCCCTGCAGGGAGGTAAGGGACCATATTAAGGGCCGATATAACTCCCCAAGCCCTAAACCCTAAACCCTAATTGCCCTGAGGCCCTACAACCCCCAAACCCGAAGCCCCCCCATGGTACGAAGTCGAGTGACATGTTGGCGATGACCACGTACACGGGTCCGGAGGCCTGGTAGTCGCCGGAGGTTAGGGTTTAGGGTTTAGGGTTTAGGGTTTAGGGTTGAGGGTTTAGGGTTTAGGGTTTAGGGTTTAGGGTTTAGGGTTTAGGGTTTAGGGTTTAGGGCTGTAGGGCTCTTTGGAGCCTTCGACTTTTGGCTTTTGTGGTGTGAGCTAAGGGGGTTTGTAAGGCCCTAAGGCTCAAAGGATTCCATCTAATTTTAGGTTTTTGGGCCCCCAGACCTACTACACTAACCCCCTAAATCCCAGACCTTGTACCCTAAACCCTAAACCCTAAACCCTCAACCCTCAAGTTCGCTCTATAGGGTTTTAAAGTTACAGTATGGGTTTAGGATTATAGGGTATACGCTTCTTCTGTATATACTTGATATGCGTATTTCCCCAAATAGGGGCACTCCTTCTTTCCCCAAATAGTTTAGTTTCCCTTTAAAGGGACCCCCCAAAGGGGTACCTATTTTCGAAAACCCTATTATACGGTTTAGGGTTTCGCCAGGCTGTATACTAAACTTGGAACCCTAGCAAAAATTAAAACTCTAGCTGTTTCTTAGGAATTAGAATGCCCTAATCCGAGCATCAGTTTAATTAATACGCCTTTCCATTAGGGTGGATTTCGTATGGGACAAACCCCCCACATTTAAAGAATTTTTTTGGGGGGGTTCAAAAATCTGTCGGCAGGCTTCTTGTTTTGCTTGCGGAGACGCAAAGCTACAGCACCTCAGGGATCTGCAGCCTATTGTTTTTAATAGAGAATCAATACAGGGCCATGGTCCAACTATTGCGGAACCCTGCATTCCTTATTGTGGAGGGGGGGGGGGGGGCCCCCCCCCAATTAAACAGAAGCTCGGATTAAAGCTTAAAAAGATATTCCCAAGTATTCCTAAGACCTATGGTGCGGCCTTCTGCACCGAACGCAGCGTCAGCAGCTCGCCCAGGGCATAGATGAGGCCCAGCGGCAGCATCTTCCAGATCAGGCTCGAGTCCTTGGCTGAAGGGTTGAGAGGGCTTGTAGAATGTGGGGTGTATGGGCTTATGCTGAGAGAAAGCAACAAGGGAAGTGTATCAATTCTTGAGGTACACCTCCAAGCAGCCCTAAACCCTAAACCCTAATAAATCCCAGCGAAGCCATTCCCAATATGCGCGGTCGAGGACTTGAGTGCCAGCCTTGACATTGACTTCTCGGTTCCTGAGATTATGGGACTCCACCACTTTGACATAGTTCGCTTGCTGCAATCTCCGTGTGCCGCCTACTTGACGGTTTAGGGTTTAGGGTTTAGGGAACGATCTTGTCCATTTTCATGTAGCACATGCAAGCAGGGTCGGTGTGGAAGACCGTTTTCTTGCCCTGAAGATTCTTGCGGCCAATGGCTCCCCGCTAAGTATGTCTTAATCGCGGTGGGTGCAAGCGGGTGCCACCCGCATCTCCATAAATAAATAAGAAATATGTATATGTATATGTCTATGTCTATGTATATACATATATCTATATGTTATTTATTTACTTCCTGATTTATACCATGTATCTAGAACTGTTTATTTACAAATACACATATATGTCGATGTATACATTTATAATATGCTAAATAGTCTAGGTAGCCCCAAGCTTACCTGAAGCTTACGTGAACTGCAAACCGTTTGTTTCACCTCAAGTTGCAGCGGCTAGATGCAACAAGTGGCCGGTGCCAACCCACCTTCTTGCACACCTTAAATGCCTTAAACAGCCTCAAGCCCTAAACCCTAAACCCTAAACCTCACGAACCCCTTAAACTCTCAAACCCACAAAAACCTTAACATCTGACACCCTTACACTTACAGCCTTAAACCCTAAACCCTGAAAACTTAACACTAGGGATGTTCCTCCGTTATACTAGCAGTCCTTAATAGGGATTGTAGCAACCCCTGTTAAAAATCCCTATTAAGGACTGTTAGGATAAGGGGGAGCATTCCAACTTGAAACCCTTAAACCCTTGAACCCTCGAACCCTCAAGCCCTTAAACCCTAAACCCTACAAACTTAAACCCCTAAACCCAGCAAGGACTCTGTGAAGAGCTGCGGCAGCCCAACTCTCCTCGGGAGCTGCACGTGGTCAACTTGGGGCCACTTGACAGGTACTTGAAAGTTCATGGGGAGCTATAGAAGTGCTTGGGGTTGTTGTCCTTCAGCCTCTTCCGTTCCTTGCTGGCTGCCCACATCTGTGGCCTGATCGGATGATCGTCTCCGGACCCTCCGACTGAAGCCAGAGGTGCAAGGCCGTGTCCTGCTTCTGCATCTTAGACTGGTCCTCGCGTCGAAGCCAGAGCTTCGCCAAGCACATGAGAAGGTGTCGGTGTGCTGGTTGATGCCCTGGTGCTGACTCTGCATGGGAGTGGCAGGTGGACGTCGCTTCTGTCCCTTGCCCTTGCCCCATCCTTTCTTCCCGATTTCCGGACTTCGATGCGTCCTCTCTGCGGGGGTTTAGGGGTTTCGGGGGTTTAGGGTTTGGGGTTTAGAGGTTTAGGGATTACAGGGGCTTTACAAGGCCTAGGGCGCTTACAAGGCTGAGGGGCTTGCGACACCAGGCCCCCTTCAATGGGTTTAGGGTGCAGGGCTTAGTGTGGAGGGTGTACGTAGGGTTTTAGGGTGTACCTAGGGTTTGCGGTTTAGGACTTAGGCTGTAGGGTGTCGGGTTTAGGGTTTAGGGTGTGGGGTACCTAAGCCTTAGGGCTTCAAGCCTGGTTTCTCCGAAAGACCCAATAAGACTTGGAGGTTCATGGGCGGCGCTATATGTAGGGAGGCTATGCTTATGCGTGGTGATATCCCTTGTGAATCCTATTCTGGGTACTTGTAACTCTACTTACAACTACCCATGAACTGAGAGGATTTAGGCTTCAGGATGTCCTTGGACGCTCGGGCCTTGTTTTGTACTGGTGCTTTTTGCTGGTGCAAGCTTTAAATGCATGTAGGCCCCAATCCCTAAAGCCTACCCCATGGAAAACATCCTGGGGTTTATGCCACCTCCACATACACTACCCCAAACCAACATAGTCCCCAAGAGAAGCTTGACTAAGAGCACCGTTGACCTTATTTGTATATCTATATATATAAATACATATATACGATATGCATATGTTTATGTTTGTTGTTGTTTATTGATATATTGCTTTGTGTTTTGTTGTTTTATATGTTGCTTTCTGTGTTTTCTTGTTGGTGGGCGGGGGGGGGGGGGGGGGGGGGCGTGGTGGCATGTGTAAGGCCTAAGCAACCTAGTTAAATCCCCTTAAAGCAGTAGGTATACTCAGGGTAAACTCCAAACCTCACCTGCCAACTCCTGAGTACCTTGTAAGAGAGCCGAAGAATACAAACTTAACCCAAGCCCCCCAAAACTCCCTAAACCCTAAATCCGCAATCCCTAAGGCGCTAAAAGCCGAAAACAAAGCCAAATCGCAGCTGAGCAAATCTAGCTTGGCCAAAGGTTGAGGGTTCAGAAACCCTAAACCCTAAACCCAGCAGCCCTACATGTTTACCCTAAAAAACCTACACACTAAACCCTAAACCCTAAACACCCGAAACGATGTCGGAGTCGAGTCGCAGCTGCACGGCAAGGAGCGCCAGAGCCAGCTGCAAGGCATCGTTGACCTCATGTTCTTTCGTCTGTTTAGGGTTTAGGGTTTAGGGTTTAGGGTTTAGGGTTTAGGGTTTAGGGTTTAGGGCTACTTGGAGGTTCATGGGTAGTTCTAAGCAGGGTTGTAAGTAAGGCAACTACACTTATAACTGGATATATTGAGGGTACGTATAGCCCTACTTGTAACTACGCATGAACCTGCAGGTAATATGTTCTTAAGAACCCCCCCCCAAAATACAATGTAAGAAACCCTGTATTACCCTTATAAGAAAAATGTCCTTTGTTAAGAATAACGCGAATAGTAGTAGTTTGGGATTTATGCGTTCGGGTTTAGGGCATAGTTCGGTGTTTTTTGCTCCTGGTAAGGGGGGCAAACGCTTGACGTACCCCCCCCCCCCTTGAGTATACGAATTCAGCGATCCCGAAAGCCCAAAGCCTAAACCCTAAACGCCAAACTCGAAACCGTAAACCCCCAAACAACAAACCCCAAACACCTAAACCTTAAAAAACAACTGACCCAAAGCCTGAGGAAAAACTGATAACTGCCAGGGTTTCGGGCTTAGGGTTTAGGGTATAGGGTTTAGGGTTTAGGCCCATGCGAAAGCCCTTTCGGCCCATGCGGCCAGCACCACACTGACCGGGCTGAACGGGAAAGACCGGCGCTCCTGCGTTCCGAAGGGTCCTTTTTTAAGATTCTTTTTGGGGGGTTTGGGGTTTAGGTGGGTGTTTAGGGTTTATAGGTTTGGGTTGATGCTTCTTTAAGCCTCAACCCTTCAGATGTTGTGGCACCCGCCCTGAAGCAACTTGGAGGATTGGGGGACATAGTAACAAGTCTTTTTGGGGGGCTTCGTGCTTGCAATCTCTACCCCTAAACCCTAAACCCCAAACCCTGATTAAACCCTAAACCCTAAACTCTAAACCCTAAACCCTAAACCCTATGTGGCTTAAGGTACATTCCTTCAACTTAAGGGGTGCTGCGCTCTCTGCATCTCCCTCTCTGGAGCATCTCCAGAGGCTCCAAGTATCACAAGTGGGTTAAAAGTTTCGAGCTTAGGGCAAATGACTCGACTGTGGGCCTTGGGGCAATTTGGAGCCGCAGGTGCCCTAAACCTGATGTAGGGTTTAGTGTTCAGGGTTTGGTTGAAGGGTTCAACTCTTAGATTTAGGGTTTAGGGTTTAGGGTTTAGGGTTTCCTCTCTCTCTCTCTCCCTTTCTCTGCCTCCGTGTGGTGCTGGAAGATTTCCCGCTCGAGCGCTGTCTTTGACCAGTCCAAGAGCGTGGGGTAGAAGGCCCCGACCAACTGAGGGACTCAGGCTTATCTAGGCTTAGGACGAAGGACTTCGGGGTTATGTTCGTATTTCCGCAAATAGGGAACCCCCAATATACCACAAAATAGTATAACCCTTTGTATAGAACCCACAAAGAGTACCACTAATTTTGGAAACCCCCATACAGGGCTTCCTTGGAGGTTCATGGGTAGATATAAGTGGGGTTATAAGTAGGGTAGCTCTGATTATAACTGGTGATAACCTGATTTAGGGTGCTTGTGAAGCTGCTTATAACTACCCATTGAACCTTCAAGTAGGGGCTAGGATACTTTAGGGGGTTGTAGGGCTTGTTGTAGGGCTTTGGATATTGACGTCGGGGCTGGCTTCTTCCATCTGGTACTAAGCTCAAATTCCGCCACCCCAAACCCCAGAGGACTCCTCAACAAGTTAATTAGGGTTTAGGGCTTAGGGTGGGGGTGACCACTGGTGCATAGGGGTTTAGGGTCATGTACCTCAGAAGTGCAATGCACTCAGGGCCTACAGTCACCAAATCACATGTTTCGGCACATTGGACCCGAAGGGTTTCCACCCTCCTTCTGTGATCTTTTGGGTCTAGGGTGTAAGGTTTAATAGGGCTTACACAACTTAACTCCTTTGAACTGCATTTTAACACCCTCTAGCTCCATTTCCTAAACCCGGAGCCCCCTAAACAATCCTAATTACACACCCAATCCACCCAATCCCCCTAAACACTAAACCCTCTAAGCTGACCAAAGCTGAGCTCCTACTACCTAGGCTGCCCAGTAACCTAGGAAACAAAAGCAGGGTGACCCTTCTTTTGATTTGCTTAATGGGGCTTGATAAGGGAACTTAAGCCCCTAAACCCTAAACCCTGAACCCTAAACCCTGAACCCTAAACCCTAAACCCTAAACCCTAAACCCTAAACCCTAAGCCCTAAACCCTGAACCCTAAACCCTAAACCCTAAACCCTAAACCCTAAACCCTAAACCCTAAACCCTAACCCTAAACCCTAAACCCTAATCCCTAAACCCTACACCCAAAAAGGGAATACTGGGCATCCTAGCTATTCTTCGGCTCACGACAGCCAAGCCGCGCAGCAGAGCACGCAAAGCAAGGCCTGCCTGGGCACTTGAAGAGTTCAGGGGTAGTTACGTGTGAGTTATATGTTTAGGGTTTAGGGTTTAGGGTTTACGGTTTAGGGTTTAGGGTTTAGGGTTTGGGGTGTAGGGTTTAGGGTAAGTGCAACCCTGAACCCGAGACCCTAAACCCTTATTCAGGGCACTTTAGTAATCCTACTTGCGGCTACCCATGAACCTTCAGGTAGCCCTAAAAACTGGCCCTAAGCCCTAAGCCCTAATTAAGCCCTAAGCCCTAAGCCCTAAGCCCTGGCTTTCGGGTTTTTGGGTTTAGGGCACCCTAAATGCTCCAAGCCCCGACTTCCCAGATTAAGACTTATTCAAAGCTTATTTGGCGTGATTGAGCGGCCCTGCCCCCTCCCTCTACAGCCCTCTAGTGCCTCAGGGTTTAGGGTTTAGGCCTCAAGGCTTAGGGTTCAGGGCGTAGGGTGCAGGGTATAGAGTGTAGAGTCTAGAGTTTAGGGCTCTACTTGAAGGTTCATGGGCAAATATGAAGTAGGGCTGTAAGTAGGGTAACTTTGACTATAAACGGTAACTCATTTAGGGTACTTATGTATTACGTAGAGCAGCCCATGACGCTCCAAGTAAACTGTAACCCCTAAGGCCCTAACCTCTAAACCCTGACACCCCAAACCGAAACGCTAAGTCTCCCTCCTTAGCCCCACACTTCTTAGAGCTCAAATGGCCGGCCCTAACCCCTAAACCGCCTAAAAAACCCTAAACCCTAAACCCTAAACCCCAACCCCAAATTCCCCAAAAGCCCAAAATTCCAGGCGGGCAGCACCAGAAGCGCCTTCTTCGAGCGATCCCTCCGAGGCGAAGGCGACTCGGGCGCCGCCATGGCCCAGGTCGTGGAGAGCCCAAGGCGAAGAATTACCTAAACCCTAAACCCTAAACCCTAAACCCTAAACCTTATGGGAACTATAGGGAATTAGGTACCCCCTATATGCTCCCTTCAAGGGCCCTGTCGGAAATGAGGGAATTGCCCTTTGTCCCTTTGCAATCCCTTACTTATGCAGGGTCAGCTCCTGAGGTAGCTCATTTGCGGAGAACTAGTAAGATGTTTGGGTCCAGGGGTTTAGTTAAGGCTTAGGGGCTTTGGGGGGGGGGGAGGTTAGTTTCTAAGGGCTGAGGGTTTAGGGGGATTAGGGTTTGGGGCTGTCGGCTTACAGCTTCGAACGGGCATGTAGTAAGGCGCTAGTACTGGCACCCTGAGCGCCAAACCCAAAACCCTGAACCTGCTTTAAGGTACGGCCACGAAGCCTAAAACCTTGCACTCTCAACCCTAAACCCTAGACCCCAAACCCTCGCTCCTTGGGTCCTGAGGGCTTCCGAAATCTACGGAACATTTGCCGAAGGCTCCTGCTTGGGGATGCTATGGTTGCGGTACTAGACCCAGGAGCAACCTATAGGAATACAAAGGGAACCCTTTTTGGTTTAAAGTTTCTGGTTTTAAGTGGACGAAAAGGGAAGCCCAACCCCAAAAGAACCCTAAGCCCTAAACCCTAAAGAAATAAGGGTCTACTCCGGCTCCCAGGGTGTGTGGTTCGGCGACCATGGTGTGCAGTTCAGGGTCAAAAGGGTTTACAAGGTTTATAGGGCTTCAAGCGGCTTATATAGGGTTTATAGGGTCAGGCTTAGGGTTACGTAGTGTATGGGGGATTTGTGGTTTGGGGTTTCGGGTAGTAGAGGCTTAGAAGTTGAGCTCTAAACCCCAAACCCTGAATCCTGGATTTCGGGTTTAGGATGCAGGGCTTTTGGGTGCATATCCTATCCTAATTTGAGGGTGTGTAGGCTGTAGTCTAGGTCCTCCACTTTCCTTAGGACGGCCCTTGCAAACATAAAGTAAGCAGCTACACTTTGTGAACTACGTCTGAAAGACAAGTTTGGGGGATGTATAAGGCCTGTTCCAGACCCTGCGCCCCTAAGACTCCAAGTCCCTAAACTGCGGCTTAGGGTTTATATAGGATTTAGGGTTTAGGTTTAGGGCCTAAGGTTTAGGGTTTAGGGTTTAGGGTTTAAGGGTTTAGGGAACCCTACAACCGAAACTCGCGAGTCGCGCGCCTCAACCAGGGCTTTCACCCAGCGCAAAAGGCTCTCGTCCGTCTCTGCCTTCCCACCAAAGGGTCCATGCACCCATAGAGTATTTACTACAATTGAGGGTTTAGGGTTTAGGGTTTAGGTTTCAGGGTTCAGGGTATAGGGCTAGGGTTTAGGGTTTAGGGATTAGGGTTTGGGGTTTGGGGGTGTAGAGTATACACTTGGGCCTTCGGGGTTCCTGTGGAGCAGCTTGAGGGCCCCAGTTTATACTCTGTAGGCACATGGACCCGAGAGGCTTGGCCAGTGCCGGAATTAGCCCCCCGCCCCCCAATTTTTGCAAGGCCTCGCCACAGAGGATTACGGGTTTAGGGTTTAGGGTGTAGGGTTTAGGCTCCCTAAACCCTAAACCCTAAACCCTAAACCCTAAGCCCTAAACCCCCAAACCTCAAACCCTAATCCCTATAAGCCCCAAACCCCAAGCCCATGTTGTAGATCGCCTCTTCTTCCCGTCGAAGGTGGGAAGCTGAGCTGCTGGTGTGAACCCCAAACTGGTCAACGCACAACTCCGTCCTCCCCTTAGAACCCAAACGAAAACATGTTACTGTTAATCTTCCCTTGAGAACCATAATATATATATATAAAAAAAACATGTTACTGTGAATGTTCCCTTGGGTTGTAAATTCATAAAATTATAAAAATCCTAAGGGGTCTTTAGAACTAGGCTGTTTCGCTGACATACCGGGAAAGAGCGGGGAATTAAAAAGATATGGGGTTTGTTCTACAAAACGTTTATAGGAATGCGCCATTGGATAAGAGTCCCTTTACAAAAAAAGCATGCCAATGCCTTGCGAACCTGTCGCATCGAAGATCGATTGAACGGGTCGACTCCCGTCGAGCTCCCGCCCAACCTCCCAACCTCCCATCTCCCAGCTACCCACCTCCGGGTCGATTCGATCATGAAAAGGGAACGCTTGGGAAAGCCCTGCGCTCAACTACTAGTTGCTTCAGAACCCCCCCCCCCCCCCCCCAAAAAAAAAACAACAAAAAACAGATTCTTCCTTACAAGGGAAATATAGGGATTACAATATTGTGTTTTATGTGTGGGTTCTCAAGCAAAACTCCCGAAATTCAAGCCTCCCCCCCTCCCCCCCCTCCCCCCCCTGCCCCCCCAAACCCTAAACCCTCAACCCCCCGCCCATCTAAAGCCATCATCTCACACACGGGTCCTCTTTAGTGGTGGGTCCCATGGTCCGACAAAAGTCGTCATGCGCTGCGGGGTTTCGTTAGGTTTTAGGGTTTAGGGTGTTTAAATGTTTAAACCGGACTCATGAAGTCCATGACCGGGATACCGAACCCTATGACGCAGCCTCAAGCTCGGAACGAGAGCAAAACATTCACATGGTCAGTTCTGGGTTACTATTCTTCTAGGGCGGCCCCTAATATTCAGGGAAAGGGACCACGGAACCATGATTTAGAGAAGTCGTCATTCGAATTAAACCAGCAGCACTCCTCTACCGAAGCCCAGTAAGCCCTAAAGGGAACAAGTTCAAAACCAGATTTCACACCCTAAACCCCAAACCCTAAACCCTAAATCCAAGGAAATCAAGGAGGGAGCCTTATAAAGTACCTTAGGGGTTGTTTGTATTCAGGGGGCTACTTCGGTATATAGGGACTATATAAGGTGTATATATATATATATATATATAGGGGTTATATAGGGGATTCAGGGTCCCTTCTAGGGGTCCCTCCTTATACCCCTTAACCAAACCGAACCTATCCCTGGCGACACGACCAGATGGCGGTTTACGACAATAGGGGACCCCCAAAATAGACCCCAAATAGTAGGATCCCCTTATAAATTTCCGAAAGGACGCCAAGAAGGTACCCGTAACTTCGGAAACCCCCAGGCCTGCAGGACTTCCTTTCGTGAGCTGCCTCGGTCGCGTGGCGACGCTCAGGGCTTTTGGGTGTTAGGGCTCAGCGCTGAAGTGTTGTGTTTATGGGGTTTGGGTTTCGGGGCTCTAGAGTTACAGGGCGTTTTGAGGCTTGGTGACGGTTGTGAGGTTTTCCGGTGTTTTGGGCTCAGTAAAGTTTTTGGGTGTAGGGTTTTGGTTCTAGGTGGTGGAATACTTGGGTTTGGGGTTTAGAAGGTGTCAGGCTCACAGTTTAAGGGTTTAAGATTCTCAAGGGGCGTCGGGTCAAGGGCATGACGTTTCCCTGTACCCTTTAACACTAAATCATCTAGCCTGCGAAGCTCCAAACACCCCCGCGAAAGCCCTCAATCAGCAGAGAAAAATGGATGACCCTAAACCCTAAACCGTTTAAACCCTGAACCCTAAACCCTAAACCCTAAATAGACTCGAAACCTCAATGACAAAGCAGCCTGAGGTCTCCGCGCATGCCGAGAAAGCCTCTCTGTGACTCCTCGATCTCGAAGCACCTGCGCGGGTGGGTTTAGGGTTTAGGGTTTAGGGCTTGGGGTTTAGGGTTTAGGGTTTAGGGTGGCTTTAGAGTTAAAGGGCTGGCAGTGTGATTTGAGTTGTTCGGGTTGAGGTTTTACGGCTTCGAGATTCTCTTTAAGAACAATGTGAAACCTGCGCCCTACGGCCCTAAAGCCCGAAACCCTTCGCATGCCAGCACCTGGTCGTATTGAGCGAAATGCTGTTTTGGGGGGGCGAAAGAATAATCGCCGGCAGCAGCCAGGGGTTAGGGGTTACAGTAGGGTTCACGGTGTTATGTGTGTGTGTTTAGGGCTTAGGGTTTGGGATTTGGGGTTTGGGGTTTAGGGTGTCTACTCGTTTCGGGTGTGAGGTTACCTTCGCGGTTTAGACTTTCAACTCAAGGTTCAAATGGTTTAACCCTAAACCTTAAACCCTAGCCCTAAACCCTAAACACTAACCTTAAACCCTGAACCCTCAAAAGAGCAAGGTGCCGGCAGGCTGCTGTCAGGCCGCCCTCTCAAGTTTGAAACAGAGGGTTTGGGGCTTAGGGCCTGATGGGAGAGCTTAGGGTTTAGGGATTCGTGGTTTAGGGTTTAGGGTTTAGGGAGTAGGAATCAGTGTTTAGGGCACAAGGCCAGGGAGTTGTGGGCGTTGAGGGTCCTTGTTTGGACAGATTCTTGTAAAGAGCATTAGCATGAATTCTGAAGGGCAGTACATCAACAAGCTCAGCCCCTAGGCCCACAGCTAGGGTTTACTTGAAGGTTCATGCGTACTGACTAGTAGGGTTAGAAGTACCCTAAATGAGGCTATAGCCAGTTAAAACAAAAGTTACCTTGCTGTGAACACACGAATAAATACCCATAAACCTCCAAGTAGCCCTAAACCCTAAACCCTTAATCCCAAACCCCAAACCCTTGACCCCGCGTAGAACTCCCCATGACCCTCCAAGTAAGGCTCACATGACAGTTGGGCACTGCGACCTAGGTTGGCCCTTCCAAACCCTCTGAAAGTATTCCTAGATATGGCCTCTTGGACTTTGGCCGCTGGGCAGAGCCGACCCAGGGACGGATTTAGGGTTTAGGGCTCCACTCGCAAAAATCGCAGCATTTTGGCTCCAGCCCGGTGAAAGCTGTCGCCCGGCGATGTCGCCGCGCCTCCAGCAACAAAGGCACTCCACAAAACGGAGTTCGGGCTCGGGGTTTCGAGATACGGTTTAGGGGTCACTGTTTATAGAGTTTAGGGTTCAGAAGGTCCTTGGGTACTTGTATAGGGGGCTACAAGCGCCACTGAATAAGCTTGTAACAAATGAGACTTGTACTCACGCTGCGCAGAACACTACTTCTACAGTAGCATCGCGACC